CAACTTAAAGTGTGTGTGTGTGTGTGTGTGTATGTATGTGTATGTGTCTGTTTGCTCCAAACCCATGTTTGTGTGACCCATAACAAAATGAATGTCACACATACAACTATTGCGTGTAAAGGTCAGGCAGACCTACAGACATGGCTTATTGATTTCACTAAAAATATATTTGTAGTTGGGGCCATTCCAGTATAGTATGAAATGGCTAGTGAGTATACTTATCACAATAATAATAAAAAGTCGGTAGAGGTGTGCCGAAACCGACGTGTGTGGTAGGCCTGTAAATAAGTGGGCTTACCTTAAATAGTATTGAATAGAGGGAGAGGAGGGTGGGCCAAAAGTACGACTGGACCTGCAGGTAAGTTAGGTAGGAGGGGGAGTCCCTTTTAAAGGGTCATAGCCCCTCCCACAACTTCAGGCCCTGCCTTCCAATTTGTAGTCGGGGACATTCCAGTATAGTATGAAATGGCTAGTGAGTATACTTATCACAATAATAATAAAAAGTCGGTAGAGGTGTGCCGAAACCGACGTGTGTGGTAGGCCTGTAAATAAGTGGGCAAAAGGAATACCCATATAATGTAATCAAAGATGTTATTACGAAAACACAAGACATGGAGTTAGCTTATTACAATGACATATCACAAATGCGTTCCTTAATTCCTGTGTCAGCTGAGGTATGCGTTGTTGGTGAGATAGTACTGAATAAGTACCTCGTGACCCCACTCTGGCCGGTCTTAGTTGATGGTAAGTCAATACGTTGTGACCCTGTATTTGTACAGGTTAGAATATCGTAGGCAAAGCTTGGAATCGTGTTGCCCTGTGATGGTAAATTCTCTGGTTGCGGGAACCATAAAAGCAAAGTACATGGCAGCTTTAAGAATGGTGTTTGTAACCGAGAACCTGTGGTGTTGAGTGCCTGGGAGATATAGCTTAATAGTGTTGTGTGACATTTATTGATGTGCCTGGTGAGTTCCCGCTGGGCATCCTTCCGCTAGAAGAACCTGAAATATGTTTGAAGTATGTGGGACATTTCTACTATACCAGAGGGAACTAATATTGGAGATTACGTAAGTGTCTGTGACTGTAGTTGTAAATGACGAGAAAGGCCGTATAGGGAGGATTGAGTGGTCTAACGTGACCCTGGTCGTATGTAATTGCCCCCCCCGTGGGTGAGAATTGCATCGTAGTGGATTGCTCGCAGTGGGTCGTACGTAACCTGAGAGTGATGGCCTAGTGAGGGCCACGTGTAGAGGCCTGCTGTGGTAGGTTGTGACAAAATTGCAAACTTATGTCAAAATTGTAACTCCTATGCCGTATATACTAGCCCAAATGAGGGGCTGCCAGTATGCTATAGTGGATAGCCCTTTGATGGGTCGTTTGCAACGTCTGAAGAGCGTGGTTGTGAATAAATTTGGCTGTGGTATGCTACGGTCATGGTTGCCCTTGTAAGCTGGAATTACTTAAAAGCCTAGATGCTGGGTAAGGCCGTACAGCATAGCTAATGTGGTAACTTGTACCAAGGTTGCCCGTGCAGTCCAATAGCCAGGGAAGCGGGAAGGATAGTATAAAATGATGTGTATGAACTGGTCTAATACGCAGCGGGATGTGGGAATAGTCCAGTCTGGAATTGACAATGTAAGTCCAATGGCGGCTGGCTACTAAGGACGACCCCGGGAAACTTATTTGACCCACATGATAACTCAGGATGAATCATAATGGATGTGGCATGTAGCATGCATCGCAAATGGACAATATGCTAGACTGACATAGTACAATGATAGGTAAGGAGAACGTCTGTAATGAGGGAATTATTACCTTCTGTGCTTTTGACCAGAAGTAGGCCGTCTAGATAGGGTCGTGAGGAGAGATACTGTGTGGCTGTATGTGGACAGTGCCAGATACAGCAGAAGTATAATACTGTAAGACGTGCTGATTTACAGGTAGAAGCTGTGAGGTAGCTGCACTTTATGCATACATTCCTCTCCAGCTGATATGTGAACTTGGTGCCCAAATGAGGGGTTGCAAATTAGACGTATTTGTCCCCTAAGGTTACCTGAATAATGTTGCCAAAAGGCCCATAGATGGCTTTGTGTGAGGACTATGCCTAAGAAGTTGAGAGAGGCCCAATGTAGTTCCAGTGGTACTGGGGGGTAACGTAAGTCTGAGTGGAATTTAATGGGGTGGGGTTGGTCGTTTATTGTAAGTTTGTAGATCAGTTGAAAATTACTGGCCATGACAGCGTAGCCATAATTGAAATATGGCCATACTGACATCAACAGCAACCCCCAGCAAAATATATGATCATTGTAGGGGCTACATGGGGAACATGATAGAGGTGCTGCAATGCCATGACTAAATATACTATATACTTGCTGAGTCAACTGACATGAGGGTAGACTTACTGAACCCAATTTGCCCGGAATATAGGCTGAGAGATGTGGCATGCAGCAGTGTCTGTACTGACACATGACCAGGAAGGCAACAACAATACTAATGAATAATGTTTCCAGACTTGTGTCTCTGGCCTGCAATGACCACTGAGCTGTCGCCCTAGGTGTATGGGCGGTGTACTGTGACATCCTGGGAGGCAATGATAAGTGATACGGGATTAATGTCCTTGCCCTCCAGGATGTCTTTTTTTTGGGGGGGGGTTTGCTGGCACCACATGGTTGGGGTAATGACTTGAGGGCCTAAGCAGATTGGCATGTTGGAATACCGGGTTGGGAATGGCCTGGAATATCAGTGCGAGTGGTTTCTGGTGTCATGACTGGACAGGTACGGGCTTCCAGTCTCTGTAGTCTATCGGTCATCTGCCTCATGGATGTTACTATAGAGATGATCCTTGTATACCGGTTGGCATTGTTCGTGCCACTTGTGCTTGTCCCCGTGTCTGATGTTAGTATTGGTTTGCATTAGCCTGCATAGTTCTGTTTTGCGGGTAGTAGGTGTAAAGGTTATGTTGCCTTGCGTAATTTGTGGGATGGTCCACGATCTACTAGGATATGGCCTGCCGGAATCTCCTTGTTGTAGGGTTGGCAGTCCTAGTTGGAGTACTTGAGATGGCAATGTCATCTCCTTCTTCTGGAACTAGGTACATACTAAAATATATGTAGGAATCCTGAATTCCTCTTGAGGATGTATACAGTTGCTTTAACTAGTGCCGCAGTGGCGAAACAATTCATTAGACTGGTGACAGGTGAGTCCCTACTAGTTGCCAAGTGGCTGGGTCGGCTCTATGGTTGGCGCGAGTGGGTGATCTACTGGATGTGGGCTTACAAGGAAGAGTATATGAGCTGTGGAGGGGTTGTGACGAGTGATTCCCTTGCTATGCAACATGCGAGGCGTCTGGCTATGATTTGGCCCGTGGGCGCTATTACCTCTTTCGTGGAGGATGGGTGTTGGCCTCGCAGGACCTCTATCTCTAAGGCATAAGGTACCTGGTAAAAATACCTAGGTGGCCATACCCACTCGTCTCTATGGAATGAATCTTTGTACTAATCAGTGTAAGGAACCGGGAGCAAATACCTCTATGAACAATGTATGTTCGGTGTTCTGCAGTAGTTTGAGATCTGCTAAGGGGGAGGCCTAAACAAGATCGTATTGGTTGCGTACACTATAGGCACCTACCAGTACCTTGATGACATAAAAATTGTACTGGTACATCCTTATACTGTAGGATCCAATGAGCCAAGTCAGTCTAAGCTTGGCATGTGGAGACTAACTCATGTGAAAATAGGTTATGGTAATATAGTAAATGACTGCTCGTTACCGTTGTACCCAGCATACCTTTGTGGACTGATTGCCGTATGTGTCTAAGTAATGGCACGTATGATTTGTAACGTATCGTGCTCTTACCAAAGGAAGGAGACACAATACGCTTGACTTTGTCTAGGTCTCTGAATCCTGCATGCAGATCCAGGGATCAACTGACAAATACAGAGTTTTAACTTATACCGTATGTCTCCCATGTAAGACTTGAGAATTAGTGCTTTATACCCGATGCACATACCAGTCATTAAGCAGAATATGTGCTATATATGGCATTTTAATATGCAGGGGTATGAAGTTACTGTAGGCTAAGAGCAGCATGGCCACCAGGTGGCGTAGTGCCGTGCACCATTCTGAACTATATATATGTGTATATATATATGTATGACATACCTGTAAAAAATACTTATATACCTTATATGAACCAGCCCCTTATGATTATTTTTATTTTATAACCAGCCATATATTATTCTTGTTATTTTAATAACCCAGCCTCATATTTGTAATTTAATTTATGAACCAGTCGCATGTTATTATTCTTATTTATAACCAGCCACATATTAATTATTCTTGTTATAACCTGCTACATAATTTAATTCCACCTTGAATGCCAGAGCGTGATGTGAGTTTGAGTGACGTTTGAGTGTACAGCCTGCTTTACGGTTGCCGTGCTGTACTTGATCGTGCTTGTCGGCCGACAGCAGACCTGCGCCTGTGGAGGGAGCTGCCGACCCTGAAAGAGAGTTTACTATGGACAGGTGAGTAAGGGAGGGGTTGGGGGGGGTGAGTACGGGTAGAGTTTGGTTTGTGCCATGCCTCCGTGTCCCCAATTGCTGGGGGGGGGGAGATGATTGTCGGCAAGGCCGGTGTGTGAATGTCCGTGCCTCTATGACAACAAGGAGGGGGTAGCCGGGGGTGTTTAGAAGGACCTCCGTGTCCCTACTGTTAGGGCAGGGGAGATCGGGAGCCGGTGAGGCCGGCGTTACGGTTGCTTGGTTCCCAATATTAGGGGAGGGGGTTTGTGAGCCAGAACTGGCATAAAGGCTAGGGTAGGGGGTTGGGAGCCGGCACATATGTGACCCTCTTGTTGGGCGGGTGGGGGGCTGTATGTAATACACGATCATAGTGAAAGATAACGATTGCATATCTCAAATCACGTAAATATATGGTAGTAACATCGTGCCGATTAAGTGAGACACCGACGGTGTACTTCTGTACCCGTCTGTACTCACCGTTGCTCTGCCACCCGGTGACAAGTTAACATCAGCAAGAGGAGGCCTTGCTGGAATACCCCAGACCTCTGTGACCTGGGTCCGTGGGGGTCTACCGTATCCCTGTGGTATATGGTAGCCGTGGACCTCAGCAGGTCGGGCTATGTCTAAGTTGCAGACCGGTACAATGGTGCCGGTGTGCTCACTTACTGTTCGGCGGGAAAATGACCGTGCCGGGCGGCAGAGCATTCTGGGGAGCGAATCTATTGGCGAGCTGTCTGGAGGAGGCCGAGTGCTGCAACTGAAATCCTGCTGAGAACCGGAAGTCCAGCCCAAAAGTACGACTGGACCTGCAGGTAAGTTAGGTAGGAGGGGGAGTCCCTTTTAAAGGGTCATAGCCCCTCCCACAACTTCAGGCCCTGCCTTCCAATTTATGGAATTTGCTTAGTTGGCATTACATTTGAAGGATATTTTATAGCATTGGTTTCCAAACCAGTCCTCAAAGCATGCCTACCAGTTCAGGATTTAGGGATTACCCAGTTATGTCTAAGGTGTTTTTAGAAAGAAAAAGGAAAACACCTTGAAACAACTGGGTAATTCCTAAATCCTGGAACGGTAGGCATGCCTTAAGGACTGGTTTGGAAATCACTGTTTTATAGAATATTTTGAATGTGTTAAGCTTGTTTCATAGTCTATTTCTTATGATGCACTTCAAAGTCAAGCTACTCACACAGTTCATATATGTGAAGTAGGTCAATTTTACCATATTGATCAAATCAACTTCTCATAAGCCTGCTCAATGGTTTTCCCAAGCCTTCGCTCAAAGAGTGAAATTATATCCAGTCCAGTTTAACATTGATGGTACCTTCCCAGTAATTGAATGGGGATCCCTTGCTTTAAAGGAAGACTCCAAGTTCCCTAGTCCAATTTTGGGGACTCTCCCACAGTAAGTAGTCAAGCCATTGAAAAATGGTTTGACAACTTACCTGGGGTATGCTGGACTGGCTGTAGTAGTTATAGTGCTTGGAGCATTCTTTCAATTTATTAGACCATACCACATATCACACATTCTTTTATTGGCCCATAGATCATCATTTGCAATGTGTTGAAGTAGAATAGACCATTCTGGAATACCACATACCACCTCTTACTTTTGTTCACAATTTCATAAATCGTAAATAAATGGGGTCGTGTATATTTTATTTCCTTAAATATATAATGTACATACATGAATATTACATACTAGGAAAATATGGTGGTCAAATACACAAATAGAGTTTAAAAACTGAGCATTTTTTATCCTCACTTCTAGTTTAAGTGGAAGAAAAGTATTTTCTTATCTATTCAAACCATCCTACTTAAATAAAAAAGAATGATTAAAGTCTTTATGAACTTAACAAAAATGAGAGAGCAAATCCAATTAGGTTGAAAATGTATTATTTTCCAGAGAGATAATGATGCCTTATCTAAATAATAGATTTCAAAACAATAAAAAGTGAGGTTAATAAAACAAACTATAAAAGATAATTAGAAAGAGTCTTCTTGTGTCACGCAATATAAGATGCTTCTTCTGATTTATTTCAAGTTTATTCTTATTTATCAGTCATCGTCACATTATTCTGAGAGTTTGATAAGATGTATGAAATATTGCCATTGATAAATAGGTAAAAGTGTATTAGTTGAAAGATGTTTTACATTTCCTTATGTTCTTATTTTACTTTCCTAAAGACATGGTTGCACACAATCAACCAATAGTTAATCACCACCAGTACGTAAAGATATTTGCTTACACTATAATCTTTCGGGGTTTGACTCAACCTCATCTTGATCTCAATATATTACCTCTGGTGTCCAGGGAATCTCTGGCAATGTACAGCCAAGTCATTTGGAACTTTCGAAAGCATAATGCTGCTTGCACTATACTTAGTAGGTTCATACCATTTTGTGAATTTTAACTAGTTGTTCTTAATCTCAAGAAGTAGGTTTTGGTGGAAATTAAAACATCTCACCAAAGCTTTGCAGAAGGGATAGCAAGTGGTCCATAGATCTTGTTGGATCTGAGAGAGCTAAGAATATATCATCCGCGAAAAGAGCTAGACAGTATTCCTTATCCATAACTTTAATGCCTGTGATATCGGGGTGATTGCGTATCTTTCAGGTCAATGGTTCCAAGGGTAGTATGTACAAAAGTAGTGACAAGGTGCTCCCTTGACGGGTGCCATTTGTAATATAGAAAGGGGAGGAAAGAAATCCTTTGTTGGCAACTTTGGCTGCCGGGGCCGTATTTAAGGCCGTTGATGACCTCTGAGAGAAAGCCACATATTAGTAGAACTTTGTTCATATACAGCCAGTTAAGTCTGTTGAAGGACTGTAAATTGAGGAGCTTAGCATAGTCTGCAGGGTAAGGGCTCTGTTATTAATGTCTTGTATGTGTTGTATCTCAGTTTTTTCGCATTAACTAGCATGTTTAATAAAGCTTTCTCAAGCAACGACACATTTATAAATTAAGTCCCTTGGCTGTCAAGTAGACACAGGTCCTCTTACTTCCTGGTTTGGTTAGCTCAGTAGAGATAAACTCAAGAGATCTGTAGGTTTTGCAAACTATTTTTACATATATCACCAATGAAAAAACGCATAATAAAATGCATGCATGTTTTCATTTGGGGTTTATCCACTAAACAGTGATTTTTTATTTATTTTTGTATTTGGGTCTTGGAGTCAGTGGCGGATCCAGAGCCTGATCTCGGGAGGGGCACTTGCAGATTATTTAAATAAATAATCCAGACACAATAACCACTACAGCTCAGTGTAGTGGTTATGGTGCCAATAGTGCCGGTACCCCCTCCCAGAGTAAGTAGTCAAACCGTTTAAGAACAGTTTGACAACTTACCTGAGGTCTGCTGGGAAATGGGGCTGTCATAGGGCATAGGAGCAGTGGTGTGTGTTAGTGGTGCAATGTGTTAGGGGTGCAGTGTGTGTGTGTGTGTGTGAGTGGACAGTGTGTGAGCAGTGTGTGTGTGAAGGTTGCAGTGTGTGAGTGAGGGCGGCAGTGTATGTCAGGGGTGCAGTGTGTGTGTTAGGGGGCAGTGTATGTGTGGGTCAGTATGTGTGTGACAGTTGCAGTGTATGTGTTTATGGGGGAGCAGTGAATGTGTAGGGCAATGTGTGTATGGGGGGCAGTGTTTGTGTAGGGCAATGTGTGTATTGGGGGCATTGTATATGTGTAGGGCAATGTGTGTATGGGGGGCAGTGTATGTGTGCCTGGGGCAGTGTGTGTGTGGGTGCAGTGTATGTGTGTCTGGGGCAGTGTGTGTATATGGGGGGCTGTGTATGGGGGTAGTGTATATGTGTCTGTGGGGCAGTGTATGTGTGTCTGGGGCAGTGTGTGTGTATAGGGGCAGTGTCTGTGTGTATGGGGGCAGTGTGTGTATGGGGTCAGTGTGTGGGCAGTGTATGTGTATGGGGCAGTGTGTATGTGTATTTTGGGGGCAGTGTGTGTTGTGGGCAATGTGTGTGTATGGGGCAGTGTGTATATAGGGGGGCAGTGTGTGTATAGGGGGGCGGTGTGTGGGGGCAGTGTATGTATATGTGTATGGCAGTGTGTGTATGGGGCAGTGTATGAGTGTATGGGGGGTGTATGTGTATGGGGTGTGTGTATGGGGGCAGTGTGTGTTTTTGGGGCAGTGTGTGTATAGGGGCAGTGTATATGTATGGGGGCAGTGTGTGTATGGGGCAGTGTGTGTATAGGGGTGCAGTGTGTGTATAGGGGGCAGTGTATGTGTATGGGGCAGTGTGTGTATGGGGCAGTGTGTGTATGGGGGACAGTGTATGAGTGTATGGGGGGCAGTGTATGTGTGTATGGGGCAGTGTATGTGTATGGGGGCAGTGTGTGTATGGGGGGCAGTTTTTTTATTTATTTATTTAATTAAAATGAATATACTTTAGGTCCCCCCTCCCTTCTTACCTTTACTGGGAGGAGGGGGGAAATTTCTTAGTCCCTGGTGGTCCGGTGGGGAATCCCTGGTGGTCCCAGTGGTAGGAGTGAACTCTAGCCCGCAGCTCCTGGGCTAGAGTTCACTCTCACGAGATTTGGAGCGTTGCCGCGGCAACGCTCCTTGCTCGTGAGAGGAGGACCCGGAGGAGCTGCAGGCTGAGCTCCCGGGTCCTCTCTCCCTCTCCCTTCCCCCGCCAGCTGCCAGCACGGTGCCTGGAAATCTGCAGGGAGAGGGAGACCGTCGGTTTTCTCGGGGGGGGGGCAATTGCCCCGTTGCCCCCCTCCCTGGATCCGCCACTGCGTGGAGTGTTCCCTTAAACACTCTTAGGATAAGATGTTAACACCCAGGTAAATTACCAGCAGACGTCAGTTTGCTATGGTTATTTTATCAACCTGTATGAAACATGTAAATAGAGGGAATTATGTGGTCAGCAGGAATACATCTCCCAGTATCTCCACCATTTGAAAACAAGGATAGTGCATTTTAGCCATCCCTAGGAAGTTGTTTAATGCAGTTGTCTGTTAAGGTCATTTCTCCACGGGAGCACATTAAACACCTTCAATAAGGCTCATTCGTCTCCTAGCAAACCAATTTACTCCAATAACTGAACAGTAAAGATAACAACCTCCCAAAGTCCTTGTTTTACTGCACAATAAACTTATATAAACAGGCAAAGATACAGAAATGTCTCTTGATAAGCTGAAAGGCAGAACCCCATTAGAACTACCTTGTATTAAACATTAAAACATGCAGGTAAAAGGATTATATAAAAATAAAGCATAATTGGCTTTATAAGAATAATTACAATGATAATTAAAAAAATAACCTTAAAATATAGAGAAAATACTTTTCTCGATATTCTGACAATTGGGTATTATTTTATACATTATAGAAAACTATGGCACATAAATCAGAAAAAAATGATACATCTCAGATGTACATTATGACCTATATGAAGACACTTTAGAAAAATATATAATATAACTTATAAAATAAAAATAATAATCTATAAAAATAAAGATGTTTGATATAAATGGTAATTGCCTGCAACCATGCTTGCAAATACAACATTACATCACTGTTGCATGATATTTCATTGTACTATTCTTTACTTTGACTTTTTATATGATATAGACATGTGTATGTATATGTGAAGTTTGTGAATATAGAAAAGAAAAATGAGAACTGGTCTCAGACAAAGAACTGGTACCAAGACTCAAAATGTTACCACTATAGTTATTTTGGTCCTATGTG